CCGGGCACCCTGCAGCTGCCGGGGCTGCAGGTGCCCTTTGTGCCTCCCTTCCTCGCTGCTGCTGCCTGGTGTCTGCATGCCAGGCTGGGCTGGGCCTTGTTGTCCCAGTTGGCACGTGGCGTGGTTGGCCGGCTCGTGGCAGCTCCCCTGGAGCAGATGAGGCACGCGCCGGCCTCATTACAATGAGAATGGACAGAATGAAGAAGCCATGTGGCAGCAACAGTTTGCAAATCTCCCCTCCTTCTGTGCAAATCAGGAAACATTTCCAAACATTTGTACCCCAGATCGACCGCATTAACACCCCTCGGAGCCTCTGTCCCCGGAGAGATACTGTGAGCTGTGGACATTTAGACTGAAACAAAACAAGCAAGTGGGAGCCCCCCCCCGCTCCCGTCTCTGGGTGTGTGTCAGCACTGAATAGATGCGCAACTTTCTAAGGGGTTTAAAAGCCAGCAGAGAATTCAAAGCACAAAGTAGATCTGTGCCCAGGGAAAGGGCTGCGAACAGTGAATAGATGGGCCACTTTCTAACGCAGGATTTAAAAAGCGATCAGGAGAGCCAAGCCGCAAAATGAATCTGTGTGCAGGAGAGAGAGGAGCTGCTCCCACTGGAGACATCCGAGGCTCATGACAACAACCTCATCTTTATAAGGACTCTGTCGCCTTCTCTGTCTCTCTCCCCTGATGAACAACAAAGTCATTACGACTAATTTGACCAACGACAGCTAAAAAAACCAAAAGCTACTTGGAATTAATTTATTCTCTCAGAAACCGACGACTGAAAACACAAAGGCTATTTCTGTAGTCATAAGGTTTGTTCGGGTGCCTCCTTACACCGTCTACCTGCATAACCTGAGTGCAATCTTTCTGCCCCACGGCTTGCTCGAGTGTGCACCTTCCTATAATTGCCCATGTGGGAAACACATTACTGCACAAGAGGCAAATCACAGGCTTATAAGGCTTTGGATATAATGACCTTTCCTCTCCCCCCCCCCCCCCCCAAAAAAAAAAAAAAAAAAGATAGCTACTGAAAGGTGCTGAGATCACCATGCACTAACTATCTGTTATCCAGAATAAAGGTTCTCCTTCATTAAATAGAAAGGAATTAGACGTAGACTTGGAAATGTGGGTAATACTCTGATCCTGACTTTTTCCAAGATAAAACCCACTTTTAGGAACACGTGGGGGGAAAAAACCGCAACAAACTGCGTAACGTATTGATTATTTCGTGGCCGAGATGATGCTTTTTGGTTCAATACTTTTGAAGGACGGAGTTCAGAATACTCCCAGAATTGGGGATTAGCTTGGTCCCAAACCAGACGCCAGTTGCTACCAGGACCAGACACTGGGAGTCCATGTACGTCCATTTGTAGACACCAGCCCATACGCTTCAGAAAGCCCCTGCTAGACAGAGTCCCAAAACTGGAAGAGCAAGAAGGCTGTGGATCAGTAGTGTGATCTCGATTTCAGCCGCTGGAGCAACTGGCCTGGCCACTGTCCGGGATGGGATGGTGAACCGAGGGCACCACTGCTCTACCCTGGCGCGGTAATCCCGGGCTGGGACCCCGCTGCTGTCCAGGTGGGTGCACAGGTGTAACGAAGTGCAGGGCGTGGCTCCAGGAGCCGGAACGGATCATACTTCTGCCAGCATTAACTGCTGCGGTCCCCCGAGGTATACGAGGGGGCCATAGGGGCAGAACAGGATCCTAGGAAAGGGAATTTGCAAAGCATTTCCCGCTGTGCCTGAATCAAGGCAGGGCTTTTTGGTCCTGCTGCTGCATTTCTAGCAACATTAACTCCGCTCAAAAGGAATAATATGCATATGTGTGTTCAGTACAGAAAGCTCGCTGGGCACTATCTGACTTTAGCAAGGGACGGGAATACCACCTGACGGGGTTTGCCTCCCATACTCAGTCTCCCCTTGGAATCTAAGGAATTCTAAAAGGACTCGAAATTCAATCCAGCACCAACAAGAGCCTGCCTCTGTACTGACTGAAATCAGTGAAGAGGGTCATGCAAGCACTCCTGTTTGGGACATAGCTCTGAGTTCTCCCCTACTCCTTCTGCTGAGGCGGTGAATGGGATTACTCCTAACAGGACTTGCTTCGACCCAGGTAGAGCAGGCTTGTGACCACGCGGATCCTGAAGACCCCCCTGGAAATCACCTCAACGTGGTTCTTCCTTGCTCATGGGTTCAACGGAGCGCCTGGGAGGCTCAATGAGGGGTGGGGCCCGAGGTGCAGGACAGTGTAGAGACACCGGTCACACGAGGATCCCCCCGCGGGGCTCCGGGGCGCTCCCAGGGGCGCTCTCCAGCACCATCTTCCTAGCGCTGCTCCACTGGCTTCCTCCAGCCCTGGGGCTTCTCCCTCCGGCTGTCGGAGCTGTCCCTTGAGCCACTCTCTGATCGGGTCTGGCCACCCTCCCGGGGGAGGGTCCTGTCCTACCCCTCGGGCCTCGGGCCCCTGTTCCCACTGCCCTCACTTAATCCGAATTCCCCGCTGGGAGGTTGAGGTTATTTCGGGGTAGTCCCGGCCACTCGGCTGGCCCGATCCCCTCCTGCCTCCGGGGGCGTGGCTAACCTGGTGGGAGTAGCTGAAACGCAGCCAATAGGAGCGGATTTCAGAGCCCTTTGGGGCCCGTGGTAGCCTGGCGCTGCGGGGCTCCGGATCCTCGGGGGGACGCGCACCGCGCGGGGAGGGGAGACGGGCAAGAGCCGGCGGGACAGGCAGCTCACCCCCGCCCCGCGGCTCTCCCTCCAGCCCCTCGGGTCCTTACAGACAGTGTCGGTGGGGGTGCGGGGTACGTGCGGGGCTTGCCTTGTCCACCCTTCGCCCGCCTCTCCCAGCCTAGATGGACCCGCGTAAAGCGAGGTGAGAGCGGTCCCAAACCGGGGGCGACTAGGAGCAAAGCCCGCCCTGCAGCCTGTGGTCCGCGCCTGCGTCTGGGCAGGACGCCGGTCACTATTGCTGGCGCATTCAAACTCCCACTGACATTCAAGCATCCCCACTTGTGAGATGAAGTAACTAATCCAAAGCTTTGTAGTCCGTTACGTATCATAAAGAAGATTATGGCAGCGTAATACTAATTTTGGTGGCCCACATAATCTTCAGTGAGAAAATCTTGGGGGACTGAAGGTTAGTAAACAATGTCTGGTCTAATGCAGCTCCTACTTTCCCCTTTTTGTCTCACTTTCCCACTTCTTTTTCAGTCCCCCTGTCTTCCTCCCCCCGCCCCTCTTTCTTCACTCCCCCACTCCGCTTTTCCGTCTCTCTTACTTTCCCCTGCAAGACCTCCAAGGCTGCTTCAATACATGCAAAGGAAAATGACACTGCTCAAGACATTCGCGTGGATTTTCAGAAAATGCAATACAATCAGATTTATTTTAAATGAACAAAGAGGAAATGCAGCTTGGGGACTTGTCTCTCCATTTCAGGGTTGGACAGGAGCGTTTTGTTAGAAAACCTAGCCGAAATCTTTGTTTGTTTGTTTGTTTTTTAATGAAGAATGTAATCCAGAATGTAAACCCTCCCTGGTTAAAAAGAAAATAAAGCCTATTTGGGCGCCATTACACATTTTTCAGGTTGTATTAGTTTTTGTTTTTTCAAAATAGTAAAAACTCCTGGTTCCATATCAGTTCACAATTTTTTATTTAAGCTATAGAAAAAAAATCACCGGAAACCCAGAAGTGAGCATAGGACACAGAGCAAATAACCACCAGAACAATAATCAAGTAGATGAACTCCGAGTACTGGGAAAACATCATGTCTCATATTTCAGGCACTGGTGTGAATTTTGCTAAGTGACAACAGGGACCAGAGGTCACCAGTGGACAATGCTGTACAGTCACTAGAAGCTGTTAGCATCTTCACTGGCCATGAGAAATGAGTTGCTCGTCTCAGTTCACGGAGTCGCACTTTTCAATATCCAGCAACTGGGATAGCATCGCTGCTCACAGGGAATGATCATAAGACTTTATGCACTACTTGAATCCCACTTAAACCCTCAAAATAGGGAGGAATTGGACCATAAAGGATGCATAGGCCTGCGTTACCTTCCAAACAATGGTGATTTTTACCCAGACAGAGAGGGAAGAGATAGAAACTAACTCTGGAGATCCTTTGGGGATATAAAGGCTATGGTTGCTGCTGTGGTTACTTGTTCTGTGACAAGAACACTTGGGCAGTCTGGTGCTTTTTAGCAGAACTAAATGAACCGCACCCTAGACAGAGTAACTGCATTTGCCCTGTGAATTCCTGTAATAAACTTCAGCTCGGTTTGACATAAAAGGACAAGATAGAAAACCTAGACAGTACAGAATCGGTGTGAAACTGCAAAGAGCTGAACAGCCTGGATGCTGGACCAGGACGCTAAAGATGGTTTGATTGTTTCAATAAGAGTTAAAAGTAATATCCTAATGAACTGTATTTTAAATTTCTTTGAAAAAAACTAGTGTTTGTCGCCCAAGGATTTAAATTGAATCAGATTGGCTGCCCTGGTAATCAATAGTTGTAAAATTATATTCTGATGAATATGCATATGTGCATTATATAAATAATATCGCAGTAATATACTAATTAAACAAGCAAAATAGCCCACAACAATGCATGGGGTCCTAACTATTTATCTATGTAAACTTCTCTCACTTCAAAGGTTTTTCTCTTTAAAATACTAAAAGGCTGTAGTCTGTCCAGGCAAGGAAAAAAAAATCTGCAAAAGTGATGTTTTTAAATAAAGGCCTCGATCCATTAAACACTTAGTTGGGAGCTTACCTTTAACCACATAAGTAGATCCAGGGATTTCAACCCTAATACTCCTGTGCTTAAAGTTAAGCGCGTGCAAGTCCTTGCGAGACCAGGGGTTTAGAGATTTTTAAATATGACTTAATTTGAGAAATAAAACAAACAAACAAAAAACAACAAACCCCCCCCCCCCCAAAACAAACCAACAAAAAAACCCTTCACATCTATTTTTCTGCTCCTATTTTTCTGTTTGAGCAATATGGTGGTGGCGGTGAGTTACCCGCTTGAGATGAAAACTAGCATTGCGTGATCAAGCTGGAAACCGATGGACCCGAGTTTTTAGGAGGTCGAGACCAAACTGCAGAAGCGTTAGGCAGGCTACTGGACGCTTGCAGCCTACCCTGAGCTCCCTTGCCTGCTAGGAATGCAAAACGCAAACAATGAGATAAATTTAGGCTTTTAACCTGCACCCTATAAACTTTTTCGACCCAGCTGTTTGATGCTATGAACGCAACTTTTATTATTATTATTATCTAAACATTTTTGTCAACATGCAGCAGGTGGTCCATTATAGTTCGTCTTTATTATTTTATTGCAGCTTCTTTTATGGCTGCAATCGTAATGGTTCGCTGGGGTTTAGGGGCGGATTTTTACAGCTGGTACCTGAAAATATTTATCTTGTGGCGACGCTGGGGCAATTGCAGCAATTTCAGGTCGTGGCAGTTGGGGGAAGAAAACATACACAATCCCCTGCCCCCCCTCCCCCAAGAGCGGCGAGCTGGGTAAGGAGAGGAAGGCGAGGGCCACAGAAAGGCACAGCCCCGTGGCAGTGTTTTGATCGGTGCCCAGAGCCTGATGCCCGAAGCGTCCAGATTAGAGGTGAAACTCTAGCTGCAAAGGTGCACGTCGGGGGGATTTCGGGGAGGTTTGGCGGAGCTGTGAAAAGAAGAGATCAGCTTGTCTTGTTTTAACCTACATTAGCTCCGAGCCCATATGGTAGATGCTGCCTGTGGATGCTCAGCACCAATGCGATGCCCTGCTCCTGCGCGCCGCCCTGCTTGTGCCAGATGGCGCCTGGACCAAGTGGCCATGCGTGGGGTGGCTCTGGTTAGCCTAATAAACCTCCAATACAAGTCAAAAATCAAAACACACACATACTAACATCTGCTAGAGCCTGCAGTACCCAGCCAGCCTTTCAAGACTGAATTAAAGAGCCCCACAGCCCTTCTGTTCCCCTAGGTTAGGCGCTCATTACCATTTATCAAGCACTGATGTTATCTGGCCTCTCATCTTATTTAGGACCGAAGCTATTAGCATCAGATTTGATTGTGACAGTTGAGGCTGCTGCTGGGGAAGCCGAGCTCTGCCGGGCCCGACCGCTGCTGGTCCGGCTCCTGGGCCCGGAGCTTTCCTGCCCCCGGGCCCGCAGAGAGGGGCTGGGGCCACACGGGGGGAGGAGGCTGCAGGGGGCCGGAGCCGGAGCAGAGAGCCTCCAGGGGAGCCAGGGGGAGGCCAAGTCTCAGCTTCAGGTGCGGTGTGATCAGGACCCGCTCCACGTCCCAGCACCTGCCTGGGCTCCAGTCCACGCGGGAGGGTGACACTGCAGTGAGCATGTGCCCTGCCGGGAGGGGCACATGAAGGGGGAGGTGTATTTTTGCTGGGGGGCATTAATGATGCAATCCAAGCATCTAAAGAGCCGGGGACCCCATATAGCTCACAGTGTACATCCCACCCAGCACGGGGCAGAAGGGGAACGAAGCAGGTGTAGGTGGGCACCACCCCACCTCCGCTCCCGAGCGGGCCCCGGGAGATCCCCGGCGCGAGCCGCCCCCCCGCTACAGGGAGCGGAGCAGAGCGGCTGCCGGACTCGGCCGAGCCGCCCCCAGGGACCGGGCTGCAGGTGACCCGCGGCGGCAGCGAGGTTTCCAGGCTGCGGAGCGGGCAGCGGTGTCTAGGTGGCGGCCTCATTACCATACAGCTGAAGGCTCCTCTCCCCCCGGCCCCGGCCATTAACAAGCTGCGGGAAGGGAGGGGGAAAGCCACATGAAAGGCGCTCTGTGTGCGCGGCTCTAATGAGGGCCACGCGACCCAACAATGGGCGCGCCTTGCCGTCGGGCCGGGCACACGCCGGGCGGGCACCGGGGCGCGTCCAGCGCACCTCCCACGGGCGCTGAAGCGGGGTGGGGAAGCGCGTTTGTGGCTTGGTTTGTGTCTTCTGCCCAACAGCGGGGGCAAGAGTGAGCAGCCCCGGAGATGCCCCCCAATCTCCCCCCCGCCCTCCTGCCCCCTGTGCTCTGCTTGCCGGCCTGGGAGGGGGAGGCGGGGGGCGCGGAGGGGCTGCCCCCCCGGCCCGGCCCGGCCCGCAGGTGCTTCCCGCCTGCTCCCACTCTCAGTTTCTCAGAAACGCGATTTTGCTTTTACTTTCTCCCGCTCCCACCCGCGGTGGCCGAGGCAGGTGAGCCTCCCCCACCTTCCCCGAGGACATCAGCCCGGCCCCTTCCTTCCTGCCTTCCCGCGGGGCCCCGGCCGAGCCGGCTGGTCCCCGCACTCCCCCACTGAGCCGGGACGGGCACATCTGCAGCCCCGTGGCCCGTGCCGGCCCCCCACTGCAGTGAGGCTGTGGGCAAGGTGCAGAGAGCGAGGGGCAGGACCCGAGGGCGTTGCGCCCAGTCTGCAGAAGAGAAGGGGTTGAGAGCAGAGAGGAGGGAGCCGGGCTTTGCTCAGGTGACGGAAAGGGGCAGTGGGCTCAGGCTGCAGCAGGGGAAGTCGAGGCTGGATGTTGGGAAGAACTTTCCGAGCGGGAGGGCGCTGAAGCCTCCATCCCCGGAGACAAAGGGGATGATGCGGGCGGGGCTGGTCCTGCCGTCCCGGGTGCCTCCCCAGCTCCCTCCCCCCTCGTGTCCCTGCCTCGGTGCAGGCTCCTGTCGTGGGGGGAGCAGGAGCCCGGGCAGCCGCGGGCCCGTGGCTGTAAATATCTCAACAGATGCTTGGCTTGTTAATAATCAGCTCGGCTCCGGGCCGCTCCGCGCCTCCGCGGCAGCAGCGGCGGCAGCAGCAGGGTATTAATTCGGGCCGCGCGGGCTCGCCACAACATTTGGCTCATTTTTTTTTCTTCTTCTTCCAGAAAGGAAAGATGGGAAAAAAAAAAAAAAAAAGCGAGTAGAGGGGGGCCGGGGGGGGGCCGGGGCCGCCTGCCTGGGCGGGGGGATAAAGA